AATTCAAATTTCAATTCAAAACAAATGTCCTAAATGCCTGTCCATTAGCGATTAAACTTCTGATTGTAAAATAGTTAAGACCATTAAATCTCAAAAAGAGTGTGTATTCTGCAGCAGATTTTCTCATATATTTGCTCCACAGTCACTTCCTCTGCTTCCAGACGTTCTTCCGCTGCTCTCATTATGATCTTTATCTCTTCTGTTCTACTTTCCGTTCCTGCAGAGCAGTTTATCACTTCAGACATAAAGGCAATGAATGATACTTTGTCTGCTAGCATTGCATTTTCCTTCACCTCGCTGAGATTTGGCCTTTCCTTTGTTTTAGTTTCTACATTTTGCATGTGTTGTTTTTGAACTACCTTCTTGACTCTCTCTGTTGCTTCTGCACATGACAGCCCTTCTGTAATCTGTATGTTTTGAGTTTTCACTGCTTCTTTCCATGTTCCTAATGTTGGCTCTACTGCTGCAAGACTACAAAACATACGGCTTTACCCTTAATCAGAGGTGTGACCAAGTCAGAAATAACAAGTAAGTCTCGAGTCTTTGCATTAAATTCTCGAGTCAAGACAGACAAGTCCTCAACTTTTAGCTTCAAGTCTTAAACAAGTCATTAGTGCTCTTTGCCCAAATGAGTGTCTCAGAATGAATTACCATATCAAATGTGTAGTAATTTATATCAGGAAGGCAGTTAGAATATGTTTGACATAGTTCAGTTTCATGTGAGATGGGTGCCTTTAGTAAAACTACTCAAGTTCAGGTTAGGGATTGTGCCAAAATAGGACAAGCAGTGAAGAAGAAAAAAACTATTTTATTAGTAACAGAACAGCTAAAACAACATAATTTCATAGAAATACAGCTGCAACATACTTTGCATGTGTGCTTAAGAATATGTGCTTCTAGGTGTTAAATCGAAGCCAATGAGACATTATTTGGAACCTCAATGAAATAGATTTAAAAACATGAGAGCGGAAACACAGAAAGAACTGCTTTGAAAGAACTAGAAGAAATAACTGCAAGCATACTTTACACGTGAGAGGAAACATGCAACATGGATGCAGACAAACTCATGAAGACTGTGCTATCATTCTTTATAACTAAGAGTAACAAAGACAAAATCATTTTATAGAAAACAATGTTAAGTTAACAATTAAATGTTAAGTTTATAATATGCATAGCTGATCGCTAAATTTAGGGGTTGTGTGCGCTTTAGGCCTACAGACTGATTTACAACACGTGAATTCATTTATTTATCCTGAAAGAAATGAAAGTGGCACGAGTGCCTGCAAGAGGGAGAAAATATAGTATATATAAAAATAGTATATTTTATAGTTATATATTCAATGCTCATTCTGTGAAAGAAATACTTCTTCAAATGATATTCTAAATCATCACTAGGCCTATTGTCGCTTGCCCACTTCAGTCATTAGGCCTAATGTGCTTTTTTTTATTTTTATGAAATTATAGCTAAATGGTTTGCATTGATTAATTTTAAACCTAGATTAAATCAAGTTTTATCTAATAATTCTGTTGCACCAAACTTTAAACCTTTAAAAATAAGCAGGTTTACATTTTAACCCATCATTTTGATCCTGGATTTAAGTTATATTTAAGATTAGCTTTAATCCAGTTGCACCATAAATGTAAACTCAGATTTAAATCTCGATTATGGATTAATTTTAAACTTAATGGAGGTTTAAATAAAACAAAATGCACATGAAATTAAAATATGTAACTGATTGAACAAAAACAGTGGAGATCTGCCAAAAAAAAACTGGTCTCAGAGAGGTGTTTATTACAAATACAAATGAAAATGAAAGCACATGGAGTTGGCAGAGTGCGAGGGTCGTGGCGGGGTGCGGATCCGTCACTCGTGGTGCACCTCTGTGTCGGACAAACAGAAGAAGTGAGGAATATGTGCAGCGGTCACGGTGATGATGAGGCCCTATAGCGATAGCTATATACGAATCGTGTCTTTTGTCCTAAGTTATGCTATTACTCCATTAATTTATACTAGCCTATACTGTATATCCAGCGCTCCCTTAAAGGTAGGGTATGTGATTTTTCAAAAACACTTTAGGAAACTGATTCGGCCAATCAGCAGTAAGGGGCGTGTCTACTCGTGATGTGCAGGAGAGAGAGTTCAGTGCACAGGACGAACATTAGCCGAGCCGAGCGACATAAAGATAGAGACGGCGGATAAAAAACAAAAGAGGAAAACGTCTGCGGAACGATAAGGCAAGAAGTAGGACCCATGTAAATATCGGATCAGCTTTCCAGCGCTGGAGAGAACTCAAGGAGCGGAGGCCTGCGATCGGATGCCGAGGTTGCTTTGTTTCTTCTCGATAGCTGAGTAACACCGTGTCTACAACAGCTGAAGTCTGCCTACACTGGAAGCGCTCAAACCACCGGTGAACACCATTTGAAATGTGTGTCAGCACGTCATAAATAGAACCCGGCAGCAGTGTTCTGTCGGGGATTTGTTGCGCCGCGTCGCTCACGTCCGATGTAGACACGGTGTGACATTGGTTTTGCTTTGTTTCACAGAACTAATCGTTGCGTTCGTATGTGTGGGGCGGAGCTATCAGAATAGAGGCAAGACCCTTTTGGGGTAGGGGCGTGTTTGTTTTGGTGATTTCAAATGTCAACATTGGCTACCAGAAATCGCTTACCCTGACTTTAACGCAGTCTCTGGCTTTTTGCCAGTCAAGCGCAAGCACGCAGGGACGCGTCTAGAGTAAATACGACTCTGATCTGATCATAAAGTCTTTCAGAGTCACAGGGCTCAAGTCCAAGTCAAGTCTCGAGTCATTGCTGTCAAAGTCTAAGTCGAGTCTCAAGTCTTCTTGAATTATGTCGAGTCGAGTTGCAAGTCATCAAATTTGGGACTCGAGTCCGAGTCAAGTCTCGAGTCATGTGACTCGAGTCCACACCCCTGCCCTTAATGTTGAAATGTAATATATTATTTAGACCATCACAGAAGTCCTCTTAGCTGTAACTGGTTTAAATATAACCGGAGCGTGTCGGGTGATGAGTATTTGGTCTTGAAGAAGGACAGGCTGATCACTGTACTTCTAGTGTTTCAGGAATGGGCTTCTCTGCTGTGGTTAAATCACTGAAGCTCCTCTGGGATTCTGTCTGAACTCCAGAAGTAGATGGTTTGTATGATGATAGCACTATGTGAATGTTCAGCATGTTGCTGGATGTCCTCCGCAGCACTGATCATCTCCTCCACATCCTCAGTGTCCTCGTTCGAGCTGTCCTCTGCATTCTGGATGCGCTTGAAAAAGCCCAACATGGAGAAGTATCTCTGGACTCAACCGATCCCATGTTTTGTTCCTCTGCACTGCCAGCAACATTTACCAGTCTTACCATCAAACTCACACCGATTCTCCTTTTGGCCTGTACACACAGAAACGTGTAAATATATCACTCAGAAAACTAAAGAAAGTCAAGATCGAGTTTATCTTTAACTGTTCTTTTTTGGATTTCACTACAGACTTTATTTATAACTTAATAGTACTCAGTTCAGTTATACAGTAACTTCAACAAATCAGCAGAAGTCGAGCTGTCCTACCGAACAAGACCACAGATATTATCCAGCGGAGCGCTTAGTTTGAGTTTCATGTGCTCACAGTTCAGTCTGTATTTCACAGCGCCGTGAGAAACAATCTGACAATACCTACAGAGACATGGGGCTTTTCTTCAGTACACGGATTTCTTATATAACTAGTTAAGTATTAAATGAATATATGTAAATGAATGGTATGTTCTGTCCCCAGGTTGAGGACCCCTGTCCTAAAGGGAATAATTTTTAACTAAACATACCTATACTGTAGTTGTGCTTAATACATATCACTACTGTTTTCACCGCAGTAAGAAATGTTTTTAATATTGAGAAAATGCTGAATTATTTTGCTTATCTTCCATGCTGTAAATTCTCCAAGAATCGTCAACATCTTTAAAACAAAGTTGACTAGACCTAATTCTGCACTTAGTAGCGAAGTAACTACTACAGCTAAAGATATTTGGAGGCCAAAGCGAATTAAATAAAGCAAATATTTTTTTTTTAAAGAAATACAAGTCTGCACGTTTGTTGCTTTACTGCCTTGAATGTTCGTAACTAAACATTGATTAAATATTATATTTTATTATGTCATGAACAGCTAAACATATATATTTTAAATGTATTTACTATCATAAATTACAACAGATACATTGTATTTACTATTATAAAAACAACAGATAATTACCACTTTATTTAAAGGGGTCATATGATGCTGCTAAAAAGAACATTATTTTGTGTATTTGGTGTAATGAAATGTGTTTATGCGGTTTAAGGTTAAAAAAACCACATTTTGTAACTACATGTCAACTACATGTCAACTAATTCTCATTAATTTGCAACTACATGTCTACTAACGCTCAGAGTAGACTGTTAGGGTAGGTTTAGGGTTAGATGAATTTTGACAAAATAAGGTGTTAGAAGATATTAAGCAGACACTCTACTAATACTCTACTAACTGCTAGTTGACATGTAGTTGCAAAGTTACTTAATGTTAGTAGAATGTCTAAAGTGGACTATCGAAATAAAGTGTTACAGAATATCTCTTTGGATTTGAGACTTTAGTCTTTGCAACTTTACAGATCTTCTTTATGCACCAAGAGCTTGTAACACTCCAAAGAGAAAGTGATGTCTGATTCGCGAACGAATCGTTCGATTTAACCGGTTCTTCTGAGTGAACCGGTTGAACGAGTTCACCAAATCGGTCTGAATCATTTGAAACGGTTCGCGTCTCCAGTAAGAATTAATCCACAAATTACTTAAGTTATTCACTTTTTTAACATGGCTGACACTCCCTCTGAGTCGAAATAAACCAATATCCCGGAGTAATTTATTTACTCAAACAGTACACTGACTGAACTGCGTGAAGAGAGAACTGAAGATGAACACGAGCAGAGCAGCATGTGTGCAGCGAGCCGGATAATGAACGTACACGCCCGCTGCTGGAGCGGTTCTAGTTCTCGAGTCAAGAACCGGCTGCATCGGTTTTCGGATCACCGGTACACTGAACCGAGAACCGTTTCTTTCGGACGCGTCCGGTTTGAGAACCGATGAGCTGATGATACTGCGCATGCGCGATTCAGTGTGAAGCTACCGAACAGATTGCTATGACTGACACAGCGCGTCTGAACCGAACTGGTTCTTTTGGACAACTGATTCTGTGCTAATGTTATGAGCGCGGGTAAACCGAAGACTTGAATGAAGGGCAATCCGGCGAAACGTAAATTTACTTAATTACAAATAAACCGTAATGGATTACACACAGTAAGTGGAGCATAGATTCTGCTCTGATGAAGACTAATTTATTGACGTCACAACTGTAAAACATCCTAGTTTGCAGATCACTGCCTATATATGTGTTGATGCTTTAGATACAAAAATCCAAATTGTAAGAAACGTATCAGATTATAATGATGTTTTAATTGACTGATGTTACGATTACTGACTTTATATTTGATTGTAAGCCCGCGATAGACTTAACGCCATTACGTCATCGCCAATGACGTCATTATGTAGAGCGTAAAAGAACTGGTGAACCGTTTTTTTCAACCGGTTTATTGAATCGAACTGTCCGAAAGAACCGGTTCGCGGAAAAGAACCGAACTTCCCATCACTACAAAGAGAAAGGAACAATTTAAATCGCATCATATGACCCCTTTAAGAAAATATTGACCTGCAACCCAGCAGGGGCGCAACACGACGCATGCGTGTTCTGTTGACTCAACAGCGAAAGTGCTTCCACGAAAACAATATTTTCCAACAAGATATCCAGCGCGTTCACAGAAGCACTTTTGCTGCTTAATATTTTCTTAAATAATCTTAAAGTGGTCAATTTTGGGTTTTTTTGTGCAAAAAAAAGCCCTACCAGCCAGAAATGTTTGGGGCTGCAACTGAACACACACACACAAACACGCAGTCACACACACACACACACACTCACACTCACTCTCACTCTCACACGCACACACTCACTCACACTCACTCTCACACGCACACACACACTCACTCACACACGCACACTCACTCTCACACACACACACTCACTCACACACACTCACTCACACTCACTCTCACACTCACTCACACACGCACACTCACTCTCACACACACACACTCACTCACACACACTCACTCACACTCACTCTCACACTCACTCACACACGCACACTCACTCTCACACACACACACTCACTCACACACACTCACTCACACGAACACACACACACACTCACTCGCACACACACACTCACTCACACACGCACACTCACTCTCACACACACACACTCACTCACACACACTCACTCACAC